CACAGCTGTTCCAAGTCAACCTGGACTTTATAGTCCACCAAGGAGGTTTGCACGTCTCCTTAACACCACTGACTGTTACCCCCACACACTAATCCTTACTAGGACTACAGATCTTAGGCCAGATGGATCTCCTATTGGAGCAGAAAGCTACTTGCCTTTTCACGTGACAAAAACCCAACATATTTTCCCACTTTCTCCTCAAAGATGTCTGGTTTTATCCTATAGATCTACAGGGTACATCAGTTAACAAAGGGTGATCAGCCCTTTACTGCCGGCACAAACCGAACAGCTAAACAGGCCTAAAACGTATGCAATACAAAAAAAAACAATATGTAACCCATACACCAGCCCAAGATAAGAAACTTTTACTCAGCAGATATGCGCGTCCGCTCACTGAAGGAGTGTTTAACAGAACTTTAAGATCCCTCAGACAGGATTCCAAACTCACGACCTGCGCGAATCTCGTCCACTGTATAGATGGATGTCCTCAGATCTGTGTCTCTTGTAGAGGTCTTAACTTCTGTAGCTTTTAGGAACTCAAGACAAAATAAATTAGGGATTGGGTTCTACGTAGAATGTTCTACGTTCCTGCTTCTGGGGTGCCAAATGTAATATCTAAATTGCCTTGGCTTCCTGGAATAAGCTAACTTGCTATTCTCTGCTTCCAATGATGATAACGATACAATGGTTAAAAGAAGCAATGGTCTTATTTATTTATACACAACTATAACTAAACATAATAAAAGATAAAAACAGATACAATAAGACAATCAAGAGAATACTTTACGCAGCAAGCCGGTCCTCTGGTTTCTATGTCTTGGCTGGGCTCAGAGAGAGAGAGCAATATAGCTGAGCACGGACTTTTATAATAAACTGGACCCATTCATACACATACATCGACACCCCTTTACCCATAATTCCGCATGTCCCTTATATGTCTTTTGGCCAGTCGGCATCGTCCTTCATACTTGTCCACATGCACTGTAGTCCTCCAGCAAGGGGCACTATCGTACTGCAGGTCATTCCTTGGCCTAGGTCAACACTTCGTCCTTTGATCTTTAGACAATGGCCAGCCACCTTCATATGCAAAGCAGGATATCTTGAGGGTGTCTTCCCAATGTGCATACACCCCTATCAACACCACAGGGTGCAATGCATGACCTCGTGTCCAGATGAAGGAATCTCATCTCTATTACCTCCCTTGCCATGCCTCCTGCAGGCATGAATAACACACAGTTGGTTTCATTGATAACCCATGCACTCTCAGAGTCAAGATTTGAAGATAGCTGTTCGGCAGTTTTCGTACATGAAAATGTTGTACATTCCAACACCCCGTGATCGGGAAGGGGTGCTTGGAACAGATAATTGCAGAAACGTCACCAGTACGCCAAATCCTTATAGGATCAAAATTCGTAGATTTATTGCAAACGTGTCAGTTACATGGGGGCACAAATGCGGGGCTGCGTCTGTGGGGGCACACGTGCATCGCTGCCTGTTGGGGCTCAGGAGCGGCGTTCTGTGTCTGTGGGGGCACAGTGCGGGGCTGCGTCTGTGGGAGCACATGTGCATCACTGTCTGTTGGGGCTCAGGAGCAGGTCTATGTGTCTGCCGGCACAGTGCAGGATTGCGTCTGTGGGGGCACACGTGCTTCGCTGTCGGGTCTCAGGAGTGGGGCTGTGTGTCTGTGGGGTCACAGTGCTGGGCTGCGTCTGTGGGGGCACACGTGCTCGCTGTCTGTTGGGGCTCAGGAGTGGGGCTGTGCGTCTGTGGGATCACAGTGCGGGGCTGCGTCTGTGGGGGGGAAGGGGGTACACTGCTGTCGGGGCTCAGGAGCGGGGCTGTGTGTCTGCGGGCACAGTGCGGGGCTGCATCTGTGGGGGCACAGTGTGGGGCTGCGTTTGCGGGGGCACACGTGCATCGCTGTCAGTTGGGGCTCAGGTGCGGGGCTGTGTCTTCGGGGGCTCAAGTAGTGAAAGTCTGCTTTGGAGACTTAAGTGTACAGAATAAAAATGGCGGCTCCTCATTAAACTATTATAGACCATGTGAAAGCAGCAGTAAAGAAACTCAGTGAAGTATTACACAGCTGGCATACAGCGCTTTATGGACACTACTTCCTGTTCTCACTTCTCCCACTCTTAGCAACTCCCTTTGACCCATGATAGGGACTAATTGGCCAGCCTTCCCCCACCAGAGGCTGTTAGAAGCCCTCTCGGTATACTGAGCTTAGGGTAACGGGAGGACACAAACTAGCGTCCTCCCGTCACCCTAAGTAGAAACTATGGGGAAAAGCCCTACCCCATAGTTCTCCTTTAAGCAAGGTAGCCAGAATCTTGCAAGGTTGCATATTTGACCTCGCGTTACAGTTTTATAAGCTGTGTTTTTACTGCCCGTGCAAGGCCACAAAGGTGGAAATAGCGGGCGGGTACAGAGGCGGTCCCCGGCAGGCTGCCCTGAGGTCTCCAGCAAGTGCAGGACTTCAGGGCAGCCAAAGCTAGTTCAAAATGTAAAGCGCTGGTATTGGCACGCTGTATGGGGGCATTAGTACACTTCTCAGCCATAACATTGTGACCACTGAGAGCTGTATAACATTCATTTTCTTGTTACATTGGTAGTGGCTACCTGGAAGTGGGTGGGATACATTAGGCAGCATGTGAACATTTTATCTCTGCAGTTGATGTATTGAAAGCAGAAAAAATGGGCAAGGCTTTGGAAGACTTTGACCCGGGCCAAATTGTGATGGCTAGATGATTGGGTCAGAGCAACTCCAGAAACTGCAGCTCTTGTGGGGTGTTTCCTGGTCTTCGAAAAGTTAATGCTGGTTACAATAGAAGGGTTTCTAAATGCACAGTGCATTGCAGTTTATTGCGTATGGGGCATGCGTAGCCTCAGATCAGTCGGGGTGCCCATGCTGACCTGTGTCCACTGCCAAAAGTGACTACAGTGGCACATAAGCATGAGAACTGGACCACGGAGCAATGGAAGAAGGTAGCCTGCTCTGATAATCATGTTTATATCATGTGGATGGCCGAATGCATGTGTGTCGCTTACCTGGGGAAGAGATGGCACCAAGATACACTATGGGAAGAAGGCAAGCTGACAGAGGCAGTGTGATGCTTTGGGCAGTGTTCTGCTGGGAAACCTTGGGTCCTACCATCAATGTTTAGGTACAGCCTACCTAAACATTGATTCTGGATACTAAACCTCTTCATGGAGAATGTATTCCCTGATGGCATTGGCCTCTTTTAGCAAGATAATGCGCCTGCCATGCTGCAAAAATGGTTTGAGGAACATTACAAGTTCAAGGTGTTGACATGGCCCCCAAATACAGACCTCAATCCAATCAAGCATCTGTGGGACGTGCTGGATAAACAAGTCCAATCCATGGAGGCCCCACCACACAACTTACAGGATCTGCTACTGAAAACTTGGTGCCAGATACCACGGCATACCTTCAGAGGTCTAGTAGAGTCAATGCCTTGATGGGCAGATTGGTGTCTAAAACCGTATATATGAATACATTTTCCTTAATCCACAACAGAAGTCACCAGCACTCGATGAAATGTGCAAGAAGTAAAGCACTTTTTATTCAATCGTCAAATGCGTCAAACAGCCAATGTTTCGGGGCCACGCAGGGTCCCTTCTTTAATGAAGACTGTGGGGGGGGGCTGGTGACAGGGCAGCCATCAGGGGGTACGGCAGATACTCATGTAAGGGATCCGGGCAGCCTGTGTCCAGCGGCGCGGGGGGAGGGCGGCCTAAAGCCATGTAAGGGGCCCTAAAATTTCTGATGGCTGCCCTGGCTGGTGATGTCATCATCTTTAAATAAAACAATTGCTATTATCTTACAAATAAAAGCAGCACAGATGTTAATTTTTACAGCACAAACCAGCACAAACGTAGCACTAACCAGCCAGTCCGGTTTCGTGTCTTTTGGCTGTGGTGGGGGGCTGGGTGACCTTTGGTGACCTTTCAATAAATGGTTAATAACTCGAAAACGAAAGGAGATAGAATGAAGATTTAAATGGCACAAACCAGCACAAACATAGCACTAACCATCCAGCCCGGTTTCGTGTCTTTTGGCTGTGGTGGGGGGCTGCGTGACCTTTGGTGACCTTTAATAAATGGTTAATAACTGAAAACGAAAGGAGATAGAATGAAGATTTAAACGGCACAAACCAGCACAAACGTAGCACTAACCATCCAGCAAGTTTCATGTCTTTTTGCTGTTGTAGGGGGGCTGGTGATGTCATCATCTTGAAACAAACAATTGCTATTATCTTTAAAATAAAAGCAGCACAAATGTTAATTTTTGCAGCACAAAACAGCATAAACGTAGCACTAAAGAAACACACTGGAGTTTTTGTTTGTGCCGATTGAAGGGGGGCCAGCTTTGCTGAGCTAAGTACCAACTGTAGCAGAAAAAGCTATTTTGTCCTATATTATGTACCTAGTGAAGACTTCGTGAAGACCACCACTTTTAACAGACATGAGATGACCTGTGTCTGCTTTTAGAGGTGTGGGTTCATTGTAACAACTATCCCCTATACTTCATTGAGGCATGACCAGGAATGACCATGCTGCATCCTGATTGGTCAGGAAGCCAGGCTGCCTCGCAGTGTCGAGAGGGAGCATGAAGCCGATGTGCTTTCAATAGAACACTGGCTTTCTAGGCAATCAGGAAGCCAGTCGGTGGTCGTGTCCCACCTCCCGTATTCCTGATTCGGTATCTCCAGGATGCCGATTTCGGTATCGGTGAGTACCGGAAAAAAAAAATATTGGTGCTTGTGCCAGTGCATCCCCAATAATAATATTTCAATAAATTAATAACTAAAACAATGTGCTCCCTTTCCCCTCTGGCGCACAGCCCAGTTTTTTTTTCTTTTGTTCCTATAGCAAAAGTACAACCCCTTGTGACATCATCAACAGGCTTTTACACATTTGTGTGGGGACAGCTGCTAGTAGCTTAGTTCCTTTTGACATAGTCTCTCCCCTTCCCCCAGAGCTACGTCTCCTATGAGTTCTTTCCCTACACAGTTTGTGAGCAGGCTCTTGGGAGCCGAGGCATTAACGGATGCATGCAGGTGGGACAGATTTTGGAGGGGGGATAGGCGAAATTCTTTCAGTACAACAGAGGCACTGTATTGTCAACCCAGAAAGGGAGTTGGAAATACTGGATTTCTGGCAGATCAACTGGTTTTTCTCTGTACCTGCACCAGGGATAAAACCAGGGTACATGCGCATGTATTGGAGAGATGTACTGCATATGTTTTAGTAGTTTGCCTTGTGATCTACTTTAACTGATAAGTGCTCTTTGACTGCAGTTATCTATTTTGCCCCTTCCCCAGGTACATTTTATATTGGGTCATACTAACCTAACATTTTCCTCTGTAATTTATTGTTTAGCTTGCCACATGGCACTCCATTAAGACAGACATGTTAAACTGGTCATTTGTTGGATTACATGCAGCCCTCTCACTTCTCATTGGCCCTCAGTGGTTTCAAAATTTTAACTAAACAAGCCAAAAACTGTTTTCCTGCTGTTAAAATTACATTTTTATACATATTCAGCTTAAGGCCTGGTTCACACCTGTACGTTTTGTAGCGGGTTCAACGCTCTACGAACGCTCTACAAAACGCTCAAACATGAAAATCCCATTGTTTTCTATGGGTATGGTTCACACCTTGCTGTATTTCAGCCCGTCTGAACGTGCTACAAAACGGCCTACGCCTGAAAAGGTACATGAGCTTCTTTGCTGCGTTTTTGTCGCGCGTTTCCATTTGGACACAGCCAAGTAGCCCTCGGAAAGGCGCGTTTGTCACACGTTTTTTTAACCGCGAATCGCGGTAAAAACTCGCATATTTGATACGCCTAGGTGTGAACAGAGCCTAGGACTTCAACACTTCAGGAAATGCTTTATTGACACCTCCCTTGGGATGAAATGTTGCAATTTAACACTGATGTTCCTAAGTGAAGTGCTATAATAATTTTTTAGAATGAATGTGCATCTATACCCAAAACATTTTTTTTCCCCATTTTGGACAGGTTGGGAAAATGTTAGAACCCCGTCAGGTTTTACTGCTATCTGGGGCTCTGTTAGAAAGGTTCCCGTCACTTTCTGTGCTCACATTTTACCAGAAAGGAAGTGAGGGACAACATGCAACAGAGACACAAACAGCAACAACAAGTTGACTATGGGTTTCCCATCCTTTTTGCCTGCTGTGTTGCCTTGAAGAAGTGGTGCTGCACTATTTTGGATTTGACTAGGGAATGGTTGCAGTACAGTTAAAAACTACACTGATTAACAATTACTTTATTAGACTTCCCTAATTCCTTTTTTGGAATATGATTTTACAGTTTTATAGCAGTTATGTTTTTACAGTCATAGTGGTTATTTCTGTTCCATAAATAATCCATTTTAAATGACTGCACCTTAAATTGTTATTATTCATGTATATTAATAATTCGAAACCTTTCAATGACATTTAAATTTGTGTACATCTGTGTAGAGACCGCAACAGTATCAGAATGAATGTGATGTCAAGAATTACTGTAGCTTTGGTCAGATAGAACTGATGTGATAAGTGTTTACCAAAACTAAACCTGCACATTTCACCTTTTGTCATGTTGACATTTCCTCATATCTGATCTAGAACCATAGCGCGCCTTTTCTTATGTTATACTAATGTGTTTAAGGTACAATGTTCCATTCAAGCAATGCAAATGTTCAGAGCAAACAGATGTACATTTTCATGTGACAGAAGCTGGCTATTCCCAGAACCATTATTTCAGTATCATATACACAGCATGCATACGTTTTGTGTGCCAAAACAATGGTTTGATGTACAGGACAGATTATCTAAATAAGGTTCAGAGAACCAGCTTTATACATTGGCTTACAGCACAAAAAAGTATTGCTAGCTTTCTGAAGTATCACATCTGTCTTTTTTGTTTATCAACTGCAGCCATTTGAAGTGGACCTGTCTCATGTATATTTGGCTTACACTGAGGAGAGTCTGCGACAGTCCTTAATGAAGCTAGAAAGACCTAGAACTTCAAAAGGAAAATCAAGACCCAAAACTGGTCGAAGGTGTGTATCAGAGTTTTACTCTACTGATCCTGCAAGGTAGCATGGGACACAATAGATGATTGCTAGCAAAAACGCTGATATTATTGAATGCAGTATTGCTGTTTAAGGGCTTCCATGTGCAGAGCAGATCTGTTACAGACCGGATCAAAACTGCGTCCAATGTATTCCAATGATATTTTGGGCTCTAGTTCACACCGCAGCGTTCAGTTCCAGAGCATGTAAAAAAAACAGCAGCAAGCCCTATTTTACCTGCTCTGGAACTCGTGCAAACGCCCTGGAACGCACTGAAAGCCCATTTTAAACTAAAAAAATGGCCCTGAACGCATCAACAAACGCGGTATAACGCACTGCATGTGCAGAAACTCATGCAGATCTGGTCTGCATTTGGTGTGAACAAGGCCTAATAAATGTATTATTTTAACTGCAAGTCCGCCCTGTTTAACTAATAAAAGTCCACCTAAAGTTGGCCCAGCTGAAAAATGGACACCCTTTGAATATTTCAAAGTCACATTTCTGCCTTTGTTCTTCCTCTTCTTGCCCTCGCTCTCCCTCCTTTTTTTCTTTTTCCTTCTTCACTCTCTCCTTTCCTTTTCTTCTTTCTCCTTCCCTCTCCATTTTTTTACCTCTACCCTCTTTTCCCCCCCTGCCTCCGATACACCATGCTCCCCTGACCTTTCCCCGTCTACCTTTGCCTCCTCCCTTCACTTTCCCCCATTCTTCTACCTTAGCGAACCACCACCTAAACGCATATTGCCTACTGATGCTCTTTACGCACCCCACGTTTTACACTCAATCAGGTCATTTTGCAGCACTAGCCATCATCCCCAACTGACTGAAATTACGCCTGCCCTGCATTCTAGCCCCCCATCCTTGCCTTTGCAATGGTCAGTTGTCTATATACTGCAAATTTGTGGTAGTTGTATAATTGTTTAATGAACTTTAAAGATGTGGCCATTGCTTGTATGCCTTGTTTACTTATCCAACAAAACACTTGCGAATGAAAAGTCCACCAAACGTAGATTTGTTTAATCTTTTTAACCAGTTGACATCCGCGGTGTTAAACCCCCTTCCCATCCAGGCCATTTTTCAGTATTCAGCGCTGCGGTACTTTAACTGACATTTTGCGAACGAGCACATATAGGCGATCGGCGGGCTATGGACCCGCTGATCGCCTATATGTGAGACACCCGGTACCGGGTGTTCGCATTGGACGGGTCTTTTCTGCCCGTGCGTGCCCGCTAGGGGGCGCGCGCGAGCAGAAAAAAATTGCCGTCTGGAGACGGCAACCCGCAGATGCTGCAGTGCCGTCCGTCCGTTTTTTTACTACGGGCGGACGGCAAGAGGTTAAAGAACTAATATTCTGTAAATTACACACTCGCCTTCATGTTTTCACTTACCTTGCTTTGCAGAGCACTTCTAAATTCCCCTTTATAGCACTGAGCAGCAGTCCAGATTCAGTAACACCGCTAACATAAACCTTATCGTGGGAGGAAAATGTAGGCCTCCATTGCTGGCCTCCAGCTGAAAATGCTAGCTGTCTGGCTTTCATGCTGATCATCTGATTTAAGGCCAAGAACAGGGATGCTGACTATGAAGTCAGAACTCCACCTTTTCATACTTATTCTACATCAGTAATTTATAAATCATCATCAAGGCAGAAATGTAGCATGACAGCCAGGTACCTAGCATTTTGAATACACTGTCATTGATGGCTTTTAACCCATCTGCTGCCAGAGGGCTTTAGAATATATTACCCAGCCACGCATTTCGAGCCCTTTTTGAAGGGCTTAAAGGTAGAGTCAAGTGCAGCACTTTTCCCATTTTAAAAGCCTGTAAAGCTGGCCATTTAGAAAGCCTTCTGATTTGTTTTTTTTTCCCTCCGAGCAATCACACCATAGGTTCTTAGAGAATGTATTTCTTGTCACTTATTTCCAAAGAGAATGTAATAGGAGTAGACCAAACCTTTCTATCCAGTTTCATCAGTCTATTATGCAATACTGATCTCCAGATTTGACTGTTCATATCCTATACACGGTGAGGTCATTGCAACAAGCTTGTTCCTATCCAGGGACAGGCCCTGTGTTTGTATAAGACAGTCAGACAAGTCTATGGGGAAACAGGTCAAAAGGAGGTATATTTCTGGTCAAATGCACCTGCAAAAAATTCTGAACAATTCAGAAATGTCTAAAAGTGTTAAAAGCATGCTGCGTTTGCTAGTCAAAGCATGTGGGCAATGGCACCAAGTGTGCTTGAATTCTGACTCGTATCTAGGTAAATAATAGTCAACAGCTTATGTGGCACACATAGTAAAGACCAGTTTATTTTAATTTAATGAATATGTATAAAAATCCAGTTTATTATGCAGCTTTGTTGTCATATGTTGATGCTCTATAAAAATATAGATAAATAGTAAAGTCAGTGATTTATTCAGGGAGTGTAGAAGAGTTATCTGTAATATCAAACATTTCTTTAAATACCATGAGAAATTAGTAGTGTATTGAAGGCAATCAAAGGGAAGTGTGATCTGTACCAATGTTAAATTCATTAATGATTTCCTTTTTAAACAGACTTTGTTGAATGTTGTTGTTGCAGAATTGTTGAACAAAATGACGTGATTGAAAAGTCACTTTGCTGCCCTTTCACAGAAAATTGATTTCTAACTGGGGGATAATTCTTTCAGTCCTGGTTTATCCCATTTAATATCTTTTTGTTTTTTCTTTCATTTTCTAGAAAGCGTTCTGCGAAGCCAGAAGTTGTGATAGACTCATTATTACAGTAACTGATCATTCTACTGGATTAAGAAGAATTTCTTGTGTCCGTTTAAGATTCTGAATTGAAATGACTTTGGTATGTCAGTGCAATGTTATTTGCCAGGTGGCCCGTGGAGATATGCAGTGTGTAGGCCATGTAGGATATCTGATGTGTTGCAGAAAGACAGTTTTATAATGAACATGACTTGTCTTATTACTTTGGTGTGCGGTGTCTCACTGTCTCGTGTATGCGGTAACTTAATATACGTTTCAGTTAGTCTCCTTCTACCTTCACATTTCACCCTCTTCATGGATATAATGTAGCAGGTCACCTAGAGCAGAGTGCCTGAAATAAGCTCTTGCCAGATACAGCTAATATTTCAACCATGGGCATTTTGTGCTGATGATACAAGTAATCTGCTTGTGTCCCTAAGTGCGATGCTCTTATGTTTTCAGTTGTATTTCTAGTGCTTTATGTCGCATCTTTCAGTTTTATTAGCACAGATGAATAAACAAAATAAAAGTATTTGTCAATGCACCAATATGAAGATGCTTTACATTGCATTTAACTTTTCTCTGTGATAATGGTCACTAGAACAGTAAGTAAAGGGAAACCCGCAAAAACGAGACACAGTCAGCAATAAACACTCAACAAAGGTCCTGATTTTCGAAGCGTTGAACTGTGTATCTAACGCTGTTCTATGAAATTTTGTTAAGGTCCACCAATTTTTGCATACATCCATGAATGTTAGTGAATTCTGTTATATAAATTGACTTGTTATTCATTCTTACTGATTAATTTACACATACAGTTAACAGTTTTGAACTACGTGACTTGATGAAAACCTTGAGAACATTAAAATGTACTGTCAGTAGTGGTTAAAGAACATAATTTACTCTTGCACTAATTTCTCTCGTCTGATTCATTACAGCTGAAAAATAGCAAACGAGTACAAAAGTGGGTTTGTGGCCTTTTGCTACCTATTGGGTTTCATGGAACAGAAGTTCTCATTGGTGGCAGCGGGCAGCAACTCGACTATTGTGCTCATTCTGTTTCCTTCAGTTACTGAGTGAATATGAAGGCTGCTATTGCTGGCTTCTCCTTTTGAAATGTTAAAGTGACACTAAACTCAGGAGTTAAATCTTAAAAATACATTCTAGTACCCTAACTATTAACAAGAATGTATCTTATTTGTGTATCACTCAGCTGTAGATCCTCAACTAATCTCTGACACTGTCCTTCCATTTCTGTCCATCAATTGTGACACTAAATTCAGGAGTTAAATCTGAAAAATATATTCAAGTACCCCAACTATTAACATAAATGTAACTGATTTGTGTATTACTCAGCTGTAGATCGTCAAATCATCTCTGCATTCATGCTGATACTGTCCTTCCTCCTGTAGGATGTCTACTTTTGTTCCCCATGGTCCCTGTGTGTGTTGTAAAGTGGCCACTGCTGTTTCAAGCTCACTCCCGTGATGGACTATTACTTCAATACAAATTAGCTAACTAAACATGAGATTGTAGTGCATCACAGGAGTGATCTTAGAGCGGTGGCTACTTTATAACACACACAGGGACCATGGTGAGGAAAAGTAGCCAGAGTCTTTCCCAACAAACTTGCATAATAATCACATCAAATGTACCCACATATTTATTTATGTATATTTTGTGTTTGTATACAATGTGTCCAAATGTACAGTTTTTCTTATTTTTTTTTTTTATTGTATTTTGTTGTGTCTGAATATAGCAAAAAACCACCAGACTGTGTTTTTCTTTCCTGCACTACATATTGTCTGTGCTGAGAGTCCAAATGTGCCACAGATTTCTATTCCACATTTACAGCACTAGAAGATTGAGCTCAGATTGTAGGGAGTTGCATACAGGTGGTGACTTTCTGCAAAGCACTTTTCTTAGTAAAACAAAATGCTACATAGTAGTAGACGAATATTATGGCTCTCACCTGCACAGTAGCGTCAGCTTGGATTTAAATTAAATGGAGATTAAATTATGTATGTACCATGAGCATGTAGGGAGACTAATCCATTCCTAGAAATGCTACATGCAGCTATTTTGGAAGCTTATTAATCTCCTCTACACTTATATGATGGAAAGAATGACCATTAGGAAGGTGACCAAATTTATTTTCTGTTAGTGCAACAAGGGAAAACAGTGCACTACTAAAACACTGAAGCTGTGCTGAATCAGAACATTTCCTAAGTTTAGCATTGAAGGGAACTTCAATATTGAAACTTTAGCTTACTGATCTATTTTTTTAAAGCCAAATTCCAGTGTTTTTTTTTTTGTTTTTTTTTTTAGCCCTTGTAAAAATACAACACTCTATATTTTCCTGTAATGCTTTTCTCTTCTCCAGCACTCTCCGCAGACTTTTTGCTGTGTGTGTGTGGTCCAGCACTGTTCCTCTTCCAAATTATTGACACCCATCATCATTCAACCCACTTGCTGTGAGTGCAAGGCATTATAGACACGCCCCTTGGGGTACATCTCCATATAGAGTACAATGATTCAGAAAGCAGCACTGATGTTTGGTCAGTGATGCTGCCTGCATCATTAAGGACCACTGAGCACTGCAGAAGAGGTGGAGAGGACCCTGCATGTCTTCTGACTCGAATTGGGGTTTAAGGAGTGGGGTTTTGGGCTGGCATCGTCTTTCTGTCCTAAATGCTTAGTTAGTCATGGTCCCGACACAAATGTATATTATTTGCCCTGGAAGTTGATATGCATTACTCACTAAATGCATTGCAGCCTGCAAAAACAAGTCCACAATTACATTTCCCATGTTTCTATCCTGATAAATTCCCTTTTAATCTGAGTTCCATGTAATCCATTGCAACTAAAATTCAGAGAGCTACAGGTTCATATGGAATATACTTAAACAAAGATTGCTAGATCAGTGGACAACACTAAAAGGGCTGGTGTGAACAGGTGAACAACTATACTAAGCTATAATGCCTGAAAGAAACATTAAAGTACATTAAAGCTTCCTGTATGCATCTCATCTTGTCAGTTCTTGCTAAAGTGTAGCTTTAAAGCAAAACAAAACACCTTAGAAACACTATTTAGCAGTCATGTTTAAGTTACAGCAGCTGGAGGGGGTCTATGACTGCAGACAGGTAAGTATTTAGTTGTTTTTTTTTAGCTGGCATTACGTCAGCTTGATGAGAAACCTGTGAGGTTAGAAATGTGGGTGCTGTCATTGATAGTGTAGGCTCTGGGGCTTTCATCCACGGCCAGTCTTTATTACTTAACAAGAAGCAGTAATAGAGTTTAGGCTTCACTTCATGCATGATCCAGGTCAGTGACGCACTACATAGTAAGTCCAGGATCAGAATGACAGGTTTGGAGCCTGCATTTTTAAAAACAGGCCAACAATGGAAACGCATGTATTTATGTGCTTTAGTGCAGCAAGTAAAATTGCTCATGTGATGTGACGCTCGGAGATGTTATTTTAGACTGTTGCATGTTTCAGCTGGTCATGATGGAGCCATCTTTTAGGTGATCAGTTCTTGTTAATTGAAGGTAACCCTGACATTAACTGCTTTTGTTGGGTATGTCGTTTCACAATATTTGTTACCTTTTGTGAGTCAAGGCAATCTGCTTGCAGTAAAAATAGTTTGATTTTAAATGTGTTTCAAAACCAAGTGGGCCCAAAGTCAATGTTCAGTGGCCTCTGGGCTGATCAAGTGGATCTCTATCGCATTTTATACTTCTATAAGTAAATGCCTTGCCTAAGAGCAGGCATCACAAAGTGCTTATTACTTTGGATTAGCCATAAAACCTTCCTCTGTGCATCTCTCTGGCTTGGTTTTCATTTGTTACCAGGAACCTGGCTTCTGGACTAAGCCCCATCTGCCTGCACCCTTCCCAATAGGATTGCCCTTTATGGCTGTCGAAGTTTTTTCATTGGATAGGGGTTAGCAGGGCTTATTCTAGAAGTCGGCTTAAGAAGAAGCTTATTCTGACTTCTAGAATAAGTCAAGTCTTGTAAAGGGCAGAGTTGGACTGCTTTTATTATTCTTGAAACTCCAGTTGTGACGTCTGTTGTCTGGGGTTGCCGTAGTTGCTGCAAGTATCCATACTATACATGTGCAGTTACTGTGGTGATTAGGTGGCATGGGTAGTAAAGCTGCAGTTAAATATCAGATGGCAATCAATAGATCAGGCCAACCCCTTTTCTAAATGCCATTGTTCCTGTCGAAGAGATAAACACTGCAGGCAGTGTCTAGCCATTCATCACCCCTTCCCTTGCATAGACTGGAAAAAAAAAACACTTGGCCAAGTAAAGTGTTTGTTTTTTGGAAGAGACAGCAGTGCGTAAGGTTGGTTTAATGATGCTTGCATATCCAGCTTCTCCCTCAAAGTTGGAAGATCTACATTCAGCAATGTCAGCACATAACAAACTCCCTTCAGATGCCTGCAAGCCATGCCCTTTCTCAGTATAAGCTTCTCTTGCGTCCATAACATAACACTCAAGTGCTATGACATACAATTATTTAATAGATTTATAGGTCTGGAACCTGGCCATACACCTTCCAATCACATAAGCTTCACTATTAGCCGTTGAGTCTACCCATTACAGTAATTGGCCACAAGGGAGCCTTAGAAAACATGAAGGGGCAAAAGCCAGGATTTGAAACCTATTAGTCCAGATAGTTATTGAACTTCATAGCACCTGGACACTAGAGGTGCATAGAGTATCATCAGAACCTGATGTTTCAGACTGCTGGAGGGGTCTGCTGTATTTTGGCAGCACTTGATTACGTATGTTTTTGATGCTTTCGGTTTCCTTTAAATCTTATGGTTGCACCCTTTGGTCCAATATTCATTATGTTTACCTCCACAAATAGCTTGATATTTCAAATAGGATTTCTAAGGTAAAATACAGATTAGTTAATATTAGAAAGGACATTTGGCATCATACACACTATGTACAGTATATATATGCTCGTTCTTTGTAGTATGGAAAGCTAATATTTTATAACTTAGTTGGGAGAGGTAAAGTTGCCTAACGTAGCATAATTCTGTAGCGGGAATTAGGATAGTTTTAGAAGTGTCACCATCTTCTCAAGAGACCAAATAAAGTTAGATCCTGTAATTGTTAATAATGTTGACTCTGCTGTCTGCAGCTTGACCTTTTACTTCACGGACATGGCACTTCCCTATATCAAGCAGGAGCTGCGTCTTCTGCCTTTATTGTATTCTATGCAGCCTAATCTATCAATATCTGTTTGTAAGTTTTTTGCTCTGTTTAAATAAATCCTAATTATACTCTAAAACTGTGTCTATGACATATTTATTTACAAAACAATGAGAAAATACTGAAATACTATGTTTTAATCAGCTGAAACAATATCACAAATCGGCGAAAGGGTTCAGCTACCAAGACTGG